CCCCTCTAGCATCCCCCATTTCCGCATTACTGAGCGCGCGCTACGTGGTCAGTAATGAACCTGGAATTAGCCCAATGGTAAACAAGACTGATTTGGCCCAAATCACGCGGGCCTATTTGTTTTTCACTTAGCCCGGGGAGCAGCCCGGTCGGCCCCCTGGTGACGGTAGGGGAGGAGGAGGGGGAGACCTGGCAGCAGCGTGCCCTGAGACAGCGAGGTGCGGGGAACTGCCCAGGCTCGAGTGACACTGCGCGGTTGGTGGTCCCTGGTCTGAGGTGACGCTGTCGGTTGGTGGTCCCTGGTCTGAGGTGACGCTGTCGGTAGGCGGTCCGAAGTTCCCGGTGACACAGAGACGGTTGGTGGTCCGTAACTCATGGTGTCGGGCGTCGGTGTTCTCAGTCCGTAAAGTCGGTGATGTAATAAAAGCTTTGGAGATATAGATGTGGAAATATGATGAAGAGGCTGCGTTAAAATGAGACTTTATGCTTCATCATTATGTAAATGTATGCCAGATAATCAAACCATTACTGAAAGTAACCCGCAACGAACATCACTCATCAGATCTCCCTACTGAATCACTCAATAGAAGGCATTGTTTTACAAAATTGACAACACGTCAAAAATATTTTTGGTCGGTGCTTCTGCCCAGTGCCCACATATCAGAGCGCCTCATCAGTCAATTCATCTGACGCCAAATATCAACTAGTGATTATAAGCAAAATTTCAAACATGAAACATCAAAAGCACCTGCACGCAAATACTAAACCAATCCTATTTCAATAAGCATACCTATTCGAGAGAACCTGTTCGGTGAATGCGTCAAAAATTAGCATTAAACAATTTCATTGCGATTAGTAGGTACGTTGAGTTTCCCGTCGTCTATTGCTCTACAAATGTTGTCTTTCTGTTTCACATCACATGGCGAATCTAGTATCAACTAAGTTCTGATTAAATATACAGTCCTTGGAGCGGCCGTGGCGGCTCTGCTGGGCCCCGGAGGCCGTCCTGCGCCAGCGGAGGGCCGCGCTCCGCCGGCTGCCAGTGTTTGCTGCCTGACTACACTGTTTATCCTGTGCTGACAGAGCACGTCTCCGAGAGCAGAGCTCTTCCCCCTGCCTCAACCATCCCTTCCTCCTCATCTCCTCTCTCTCTCTCTCTCTCGCTCTCTCTCCCCCTCTCTCTCTCTCTCTCTCTCTTTCCATCTCTCTCTTTCTCTCTCTCTCTCTTTCTTTCTCTTTCCATCTCTCTCTCTCTCTCTCTCTCTCTCTCTCTCTCTCTCTCTCTCTCTCTCTCTCTCTCTCTCTCTCTCTCTCTCTCTCTCTCTCTCTCTCTATCTCTCTCTCTTTCTCTCTCTCTCTCTTCCTCCATCCCTCTTCTTTTCTTGATGTCCATTGTTTCCTTAAAAAATTTTAAGCTTGTCTAGTATTTAATTATATAGTAAATCAATTAGAATATTTGCCTTAGCAATGGTTTGAGAGGTTGAAAAATGGCGTGTAAGCCTGGCTTGTAAGCTTGCAATGCCTAAATTGACGGGTGAATACCACTTCTGCACGGACGGAATAAGAAATGTTATGTAACCTACGTAAACAGGCATTGCCAGCAGACTGCGATCAGCAATGGATTAATTACAGAAGAGCTGCTGCTTTCGGATGTGCCTCCACTTAGCGAAGTGGGAGCCGCGGAAAAGCGCCAGCGCCCACAGCATTGTACTCACCCGAGAGTGGTCATTGTGACGATCGTGTACCAGAAGGACGCCGGAATGGACGTGAACGTCGAGCCCTTCACCTTCTTCTCGGCGTAGAACATGACGGTGGCGAAAATGATGATGGCCATGGCGAGCGAGAACACCAGGAAACCCAGCTCCTTGGCGCACGACTTGAGCGTGTAGCCGAGGATGCGTAGCCCCTGGGAATGACGCGAGAATTTGAAGATCCGACAGACGCGGAACACCCGGAGCGTGACGAACGCGCCCGACACGTCGTCGTTATCGGTGATGCCCAGTCCGATGTAGTAGGGCAGGATGGCCACCACGTCAATGATGCTCATCACGCTGCGCACGAACTTGCAGCGGTCGGGCGCGGCGAACAGTCGCAGCAGGTACTCGGCCGTGAAGATCATCACGCACGCCGTGTCCAGGCAGAAGAAAATCACCTCGTACCGCTCACCGCACGGCAGCACCTCGTTCTTACCCGGCAGTTTGCCGCACTCGACTGTCTCCACTACGTTGGCCAACACAGATACGGCGATAAAGAATCCGGTCACATAATAAAACACGAGCGCCGCAGTAGACGTGTGAGGGTTCTCGAACGCCCGCCACATCTTTTCGCGCAAATTGGTGAGTTTGATGAGGTTACCGTCCCCGTTCTCCGACATTTTGTCGTCTAGGAGACGCTCAGCATTCTCGCGCTTCCTGTCACGGTAGTCCTCGTAACAGCAGTCGCCGATGACGTCTGGAATAATGCCAAAGAACGAGAGCTCCTCGTCGTAGCTCGTGAGACACTCGTGTTTCGGGTAGTGTAGCTTCCCGGTGCGGTAATAGTTGAGGATGTGCCGGAAGATGTCCGGATCCCGGTCGAAAAAGTACTCCTTCGTGTCTTCATCGTAGAAGAAGTCTCGCTCGTTTGATCCGAGCAGCGTGTCGGGGTATTTCTCGACCGTGTTGCGCCACGTCTCGAACTTTCTGCCAGACACGTTGATGACCAGCTTCTCGTCGTCCGCGCGCCGCTTGTCTTTGGGGATGGGCGGCGCTGGCAGCGGGTTGTTGGCAATCGGCACCCATCCGATGGCCGCTGCCCGAGCGAACGGTAGCCACGCTGCCACGGACGCCATCGCGCTGCGTCGTCACCGGTCACCGACGTGTCACTACGCACTCGACCTACATGCTCGTCGGACGGCCGGGACCACACGCCACCCGCAGCGCACTCCGCCGCCCTGACGCGCCCGTCGGCTACTGAGCACCACCGACGTCACGGCGCCGTCGGCTGCGCCGCGCCGCGTCGGCGTCGACGTCGGCGGCCGGCCGTGGCGGCGCACCAGCTCGCCGGCCGCGATTGATTGGCGCCACTGCAGTGCCGTATTTGCCCATGTCTCGAGCGGCTATGGCGCCTGGCGGCGGCCGCCGATCCCGCGGCTGCAGGTGGCGCTCTCGGCTGCCTCTGTGCGTGCTCTGACCGGACGCGGTCCGGTGACGAATCTGGCGGCCGGCCCGCACATCCGTACCGCAGCGCGCGCAGGTGCCACGAGCGGCACCGCGGCAACTAAAAATAGCCGGCCGGCCGCCCATCACGGACACCGGCCACGGCCACCCGCGGCACGTCGGCACTGGCAACGCCAAACATTTGCGCCTTCTAGGCACCTGCCTGTATTTGTTTATGGTGCAGGTGGCGACTGCGGCGGCGGCGACGGCTCAGCCTCGGCGCATTTTCGGCTGCCGGAGAGGCGGTCTCAAACAGGTGGCCAGTCCCACGCGGGTGGCTGGACAGGGACGGCACTCGCTGCTCGGCGCTCGGTGTCCGGCCGCCGCGGCACCACCGGCACAGGGTCAGCCTTGATGGCCGCGCGCTCCGCGTGCCGGTCACGCTCCGGACCGTCACTGAGCCGGCCAGCTCACAGCCAGGGACCGCCGCCGGAGCCGGGCCGCGTGACCGCGGTACGCCGGGTGAAGCCAGGGCTGTGGCAGGGGAGCAGTTCCGGCGGTCCCGCACTACTGGCTGGTGCAGCGCTGTGCCAGGTATGCTGTCGGATGGCGCGGCGGGTCGGTTCTCCTTCACCGAGCGACTGACGTTATGGAACGGTGAATATATGACCTACCATAACGTCATAAAGACGTCATTTGTGGCCGACGTCATGCCAGCAGTTTGGTTTTGCCATAGATAGCTAACTGCACGTCGATGCTGACAGCATCTTGACATCAGGTAATATTTACATTTTTACTTCAGAGGGAGTGTGTATCGGATGGTTCAGCTTTCTCTCATGCTTCTAGCAGATACTTGGCCTGCTTTTCTTTCCCTTTTCATCCTCTATTTTTTATGCTTTGTGCACCAAGTCGAATCAATAAGTTGCGCCGCTGTCTACATATAAGGCAGGGCCCCGACAGCACCAAACAGCCGTGAATACAATAGCCGTTTTCACGACGGCCATCTGGTACACATTTGGTACACATCTGGTGCAGATCAGGTGCAGATTTGGTCAAATCAGGTTCAGTGCGTCTCTTAGTAGCTATCAGCTAGAATTGCACTAACTGCTTATATGCCTGCTTTGTCATATTATCAGAGAGCATCATCGATTAAAACACTGGAATAAATTCATAAAATAAAGATATTTGCTGTAAAAGAGATTAGGTGCAGATTTGGTCAAATCAGGTGCCCTCGCCGGAAAGCCCGTCGTGAAAACGGCTAATATAGGTCTTATGGAGCGAGCGTTTCGTATCCGTTCATGGGATGGCGCAGCGTTAGTAGGAGTCCAGCCTTTCGTCAAACGTTCTGAGCGTCCTTCGATAGCTGTGTGACCCGGTCATACGTCCGTAGCTCAAATGTTTTTTGCGAAGTGAACTTACTACCCAGGAGGCTTTGCCACGCTCCTTTGAGGTAATCGTGTGCTGATAGTGCCCCTCGGTAGCTCAGGAACCTCTTGGTAACTCTAGAGGCCTCTCTGTAACCCAAAGAAACCTGCCACGCGCTCAAGAATCCTTCGATGATCCAGGTTGAGGTGACCTCAGTCCTCACGGTGACTTAGGGGGCCTCGCACTTAAGCAGCTTTGGGGCTCCGTAGCAAGGTCAATGGCTTCTTGGAAGCTTTGGTGCTCCCTGTCATGCGCCCAGAAGCCGCATGACAGGGAGCTCGCCATGTGTTAGCTATGAGTTAGGTTTGAGCGAATTATGGACTTGTACTAACTTTGACTTAGCCAAAACAAGGAGATATTTGGTGAACACTTTACCCAGTGCCTGCTTTCACGTAAGGTGACACCTGAAGTTCCGCAGGTAACAGAGGCGCAGTTATGATGATGTGTGTATTGTTCGTGAAAGCACTTTGCTGACCACCAGGCACTGACAGAGACATCTACCGGCCTAGCGAACGGTACACTACACAGACAGCGGCGTGCCAACGCCCGGTGGCAGCCCGCCTGGGAGCGGCGCCGGCCGCCCGCGCACCGCGCAGTGCCCAGCCACCTCTGCACGGAAGCCAACTGTAGAAAACAGACCGCTAAATAATCGATAAAGACGCCCGCAGTCGAAACAACCAACAACACTGCTTCATGACGTGTGAACGGATATAACATACGGCACAGACCTGTAAGACGTCAGCACGCGACAGGTAATTAATTAACACGAAAATCGGTGCCGTTTGTTACGGCACACAGCGTGTCATGCAGCACGAGACGTTACACCACTCGCTACATGGAGCTGGGATAGCCGAAGGGAAATGGCTCTCCCGCCACAGACGCTCGTAATCCACCATGGTTATGTACATTGTATGACACATTTTCGCGCGACGATATGATTAAAATCACATTGGCCGTACTGCACGATCAACCTTAACCAGAAGTGAGCCGCCGAACATACATATCACTAAAATACGTGAACACTTCACCTTCGACATGACTAAATGCACCAATTCCACCGTCATCTAATGACAGTACATGATTAAGCACTATTTGTGCAACACAAAAACGTAAAATGTCAAAAACATTTCTTGGTAAAACGTGTTTGATTTTATAGACATTGAGAAGTGAAGATCGGATATCAGAAGACGTCTATCTAATAGCAGCAGCACAAACGGCTGGTTAATGCGTATACATTCACACTGTACGTGTACGTACATGACGGGACAAGAGATAATAAGAGGAGTTATCGTAAACCGATCAGCTGACTTCGGTCAGCTGAATGCTAGCTACACTGAGACATCGGCTACAAACGGGTTAGGAGTGGCAGTATGGACACATCTTGCAGCTATCTTCATCACAATTTGTTGTTGGAACTTACGTTTCTCGTGGCTGGTGAAACTGTCACTGGTTATTACTGTGAAACTGTGAAACTGGTTATTAATACGCTTCTTTTTAACGCTGAAGGTTTGCTAAATATTCATTTGTATGCTGGATATATTGTTAATGTTATTTTAGGCCAATCTCAAATGAAATTTTGACATGTTAATTGCTTGTTTTTGTATATTTACCAATACCTTTTTTATTACATACCTATCTATCGTAGCTTTTGGACAAGGTATGAACTTCGATGTTGCATTCCAAAACTATTCAGTGATAGCGGGCAGCGGCAAGTTATGGAAATTACTTGGCTGCAATGTGTTATCAAACATTGCTGATACCCATATAATTATCCTTACATCATGCTTCCTTAACCTCGGAACGTAGTAACTGGGCGGGCTTGCCCGCCCATTTACTACATACCCATAAAATTTGTTTTTCGTGAATGTGGAACGGCACTTCCCCAATCAAGGAACTCTGATACGGACTCATCCAAGTCTTCCTCTGTCAGGTATTCTCTGGAACACTATATCGCGGTAGTTACGAGGAACACGGCTTACACCGCGACAGACTGAGTCAGCTGAGCTGAGCTCGACTCACTGAGTCAGAGTGAACTGAGCCAGCTGAGTCGAGTTTAACGAGACCGAGCTGACCTGAGCGAGGTGAGCCTTCAGCTTCCTGAGCCAGCTAAGCTGGACTGATAGCTGTTGGCTTATTTGCACGATCCTGCCACTGTCGGGCATGCATCACAAGAGGTGATATGACTGTTCCGCTCTGGTTATATGACTGCAGAGCTGTGGTTCCATGATCGTACTGAACGAATTGACCTAGCGAGCTGTTGACCCGGGGCCCGGAGCCCATGGAGCTCCGTTCAGCCATGGTGCGGGTGTAGCAGAGCCGCGGTCCGCCGATTGTCGCTGACGGGACCGGGTCAGACGATGGAGCACATGTTGTCATGACACCGTCCCGGCAGCATAGAGGTGGCAGACAGACCCGAGGTGGCAAAGATGTACTTGGTCTGTCGTTGTGTCGCTGAAAGTTGAAACAGAGAAGAAAATCAGTCTTAGACGCGTACTCAACTGGTCTGATATTCGGAACCAATTCTTAGAACCAAAAGTAGATTAATCAGTATTTTTACAACCAGCATGTTTACATTTAAGCGTCACTATCTCACCTCCTTGCTCAGTGTCCATAGGCAGGACATCAGGACGCTTCGCCCGCGACTTTCTGGGTAGGAAATGTCGGTCCGAGCGGCGGCGCTCCGACTTTCGACCTCCACTGCCATCTATTGGCTGCAGCTGGTACCAGTGAGCCTGCTCGTCCACACTGTGCGGATCTGCAATCAATGCCAACGTGAAAGCTGGGCTGACGGATGACAGTGTGAGGCTCGCCTCCAGCATTCAGTGGTGTCATCTTAGGTATTGCAAGGCAAGTGCATCCTATTTGCAAGCATCCGTCTCCGGCGGCGCCATAGCGTACCTGCCAGATCGATGGACACCTGTCCCAGGTGCTCGTTGCCCTTGTAGGCGTCGTGGTTCCACACGCAGACCTGCAGACTGGAGAGACGCAGCGTGTCCAGCTGCACCTTGGGGTACACCATCGTCTGGTTCCACTCCGGCACCGACTCGTACGAAAAGTGACGCGTCGTCCGCACATTCTCCGATGTTGTGCTGTTGGCATAGGGCCTTAGGTGAGTTTGCTGAAGCTAAAAACACGTCATTTCACAATATGATACAAGACACGCTTGAGATAGAATTACGCTTAAATTAAACGAGAAGTAACGCAAAGATGCCATCGGCATCAACTAACTTTAGAGCTCGCTGCTTGCGAGTTCGATTTTGTCTATGAAATTCGGTTTAACGTAGAACCACGGAGGAGTTCATAGCATATACTGTGCCAGTGTGCAAGTTGCACTGTATAGTGTATAGAGATGTTCTGGCCTGGTGTCGTCGAGCTTTACAAGCGAAGCCGGCTGCGGCTCCCTCCGCCTCCACTCCTGGCGCGGCGCGGCTGCGCTCCGGGCCTGCACTGGTAGACTGTACCGCACTACCGATCGGCGCTGCGGGCCTGCGCTGGTATACTGCGCCGCACTACCGATTGGCGCTGCGGCACAGCATACCCCGCCAGGCGCGCTCGCTCGCAAAGCAGCCCAGGCGGCCCACAGCACAAATCCAGCGATAAATAACTTGAAGAAATGAAGAGCCATGCAGAAAGATATGCATACTTTTGGAGGATCTTAATAAATAATGGACAGATGGTGATTATACTACTGGAATAAACCCACCCATGTATCCAACATAAATTGGAGCGCTACTTTTGCCAGCCAAGTTTTTCGAGCAGCACCTATCTTCCCATTTCCCGGGCTGACCTGTTATCTGGCAGAAGGATAACTTCAACGAACGGGTCCGGTCGTGTGTCTCCGTTCGGCCTTCGGGTCTTCAGGTTCTTGGCCCGTAACACGCTCACGTAGAGAATGTGAGCCGCCACGTCGTGACACATCTGGAGCTGGATCTGACCAAGTGATATGTTTGGTGGCAGGTGCTGAAAAGAAACAATGTCTTTTTTATGCAGGCCGACAGATTTTACAAGAAAATGGATCGCATACGAATGAAATAGCCTTTATTCGTGCCCGTGACGCAAAGTCAAGGCGCCCGTAACTTAGGATACATACATATTTACCACCCTCTACGACACCTTTGGTTGCCGTCACCCGGCCTACAAACGGTCTGTCTCACCCGTCTACCAGTAGATCTCACTCACTGGGTGAGACGCGGCTCCTCTCACCCGTATGATGCTGGGCCGTTTGGCGGCGGCTGTGCCGGACCCAGGCCGGCCGGAGTCGGGTGCTGGGTGTCGCTGGATGGATTCGCCCACCGCCGGCCGACCGCAGTTGCTCACACTGTCCATCGGATCGATGCTGGAGTTGTTCTCGCGCCGATCTGTCGAGCATATCTCCGCTGATCACAGCAATAGCAATTAAAGGAAACACCGATGGGTATGAACTGGTTGCGTTTTTGGCATTGAATCCATGGTTATAGGTTTCTTACATCGCGCTTTTTTCACCTTTCATAACCAAGCAAGAACGTGTCGTCCTATTGACGGTCAGATCCCCCGATTCAGCTATTCGGGCAATCATGACATGGTCATACTTCTCTGTAAGCACTAAATTTAGACAACACAGGTGAATTCATAAATGATATAAAAAACTGCGATGTTGACCACCCGCTTCGGGAATCATTCTATAAGTAGGTAACAACTCTTTAATCGGCGAGCAGCGAGTCTCGCGGGCCACCCACTCACCCTCCTCGTCTGCCACGTTGCCGTTGCCGGTCCGGTGGTGCGTCAGCGGACCGTTGTGCTCGCCGGAGTGGGTGGTGTTGGCGCGGCTGGCCGGGGGGCGGCGGCGCCGGCTGCTGCCGTCCGCCGACCGCCGGCTGCGCTGCTGGCGGCCGGAGTCGGCCCATGAGCCGGTCGGCGGACTGCCGTTGACCGGCGCCCGGTCGCCGCTCCTCCCGGCCCCGCCGCCAGACCGCGCCGGCGGCGAGCGCTCCGTCTGACGCCGCGGGTTACAGTCGGCTAGGATCTCGATCTCTTCAGTCGATTCGCTGAGAATTTTTTGAACTTCTTCATATGTTTTACCACGCAGGCAAGTGCCGTTCCATTCAACAATTTCATCACCTGCATACAAATTCACGTGTTGTAACCAAGAATTTCTGGAAAAGTCATGTGAGAAAACATGGTTAATTGTTTTCAAACGTCTCCATGTCTTCGTGGTGATGCGGTGCTAAGAATTAGCTGATGCGCTGCTCTTAAGCTGGTGCATTGAAAGAACATGCTTATGTTTTCGATGAATTTCGCTTTCGGTGATACGGGTTACGGGATACGGGCTCAAGTTAGTAACATTCTACCCTAGCTCATCCTGTAAGACAGGTCGCCCTTTCAGAGAGAACTGTTGGGTATAGTACTAAATGAATTTCTTTCAATGCTGCAAGAATGCGAAGCGCATGTGTACTTAAGTGCAAATTGTTGGGGACATTGAGTTATTATAATATTCATTGAAATAAACAGTTTTGTATAAGCTCGGGGTGCAAAATAGATCGTTTAGACAGTTTCAAAAGCTGTGCTATTTTCACTCCTTCAGTGGCCTTTGCAGTGGTAATTTGCAGTGGCAATCAGCTGAATGTCAGTCAGAACTATCAATGCTCCATCTTCTATAATTTCGGCAGTTTTTAGCCTGTCTTGCGGTCACCTACCAAGACTACTTTGAACACTACTTTGAACACAGAAATTATAAAACTAAAATATTAACACACTGTAAGACGATGCTACGAAAACACAGCACATGCTATCATTTGAGCGTGGTATAAACGTTTAAATAATGACGAACAATTGCATTTAAACCAAGCCACTGTAGTATAGCGTACTTAATTTACATCATATACAGGACATTACAGCAGTGTCCTAAAGGCAGCGTCGACTTCAGGGAGGCCCAGTGTGCCACCTAAACGGCAATAACTTCAACATCCAGGGCCTGCCGTTAGACGTTAGGAGGTGCCGAAATACTACCTCTTTTTTCATCACTACCATCCAAAGAATGTGAGCGACTGTGTGGAGCTTTGGATCTTTTTGGATCTAGCATAAGATTTTTGCACTTTTAGATTTCAACGTTAATGAAACTATTATTGATACGGAGATTGATTCGGGAGTCTCTTTTACAGTGATAGACTGTCCTTCCTATCGTTGAGGAAATCCAAAGATTACCAAGTTAACGAGGGAGATTGACGGTAAGATCTAAGAGTTCTGTAAAAACGCTCTTCCAAAACGTTTACCAGAAGTTGTCAACGCATTGTTTTAAAGCATTTTCCAAGGATATTATTTAATGAAAATACAGAAGGCTTTAAACAGACTTTATTCATAACGTGTCTCAGCTCTTAAATGCTCACCTTCTTTTAGCTGTCCAAGATTGTCCATCACTCCCCCTTTAAATATTTTCCCAACAAATGCTCCAGTTTCGCCACTTGGAGTTAATTTTCCACCAACAAGCTTCATGCCAATACCGCCCTCACCTGCCGGTTAGAAAATGTCAGATACCGTCCCATTAAGTGTTCTAACATTACACATCTGTTCTGTCTATGACACGTGTTGTGGCTTAGCTTTAGTGTGCTTTGGTGCTGAACTTAAAATCTTCTCGCGGAAGCGGACAGCCGTGCCAGCGGGTACTCAATTGTGGAACTTTGTGCAAGTGCATGGCCGTTTTGCATGTGTTTCATGCTTTGATGAACGACTGGCGGCTGTTGTTGTTGAACGCGCTATTTGAAACGAGTGTTGCACTGTGTTTTTCCATTTTCTTATTGCTCCGTTGGCCTTGTATTTGACGCTACATTCCAAAGGATGAAAGGGCTTAGCTATACGAGTGATAATAAAACAATTATATAAAACAAACGGTGAAAATTGGTCGCAAGGCCTAAACATTGCTTGGTATGATTGAAGAAAATGGGGACGAAAGATCTTAAAGGGTAGCTGCTGACCCAATATGTACGAGTATAATTCCTGAAGCGCTAAACATAAAAAGCAGCATTAAAAAATAGTATCATCCCTTAATACGAACTATATGCTTACACTAGAAATATGTATATTTCAAAGTAATGCCTTAGACATACATACTATATGGCATTACTACATTTTTTATTCAACACGTATTCATGCCCGACCTAAGGTGATTTTGATTAACAACTATTTCGTTCATCGTCGACCAAACGTAATTATATAAGAAATGTTAATCTTGTTCATTAATGATAGAAACGGAATAGTTAAACTGAAAGTAATTGGTTGTGTTACTACCCAAAATATCTATTTGAGCGATTGATGAAAATGAATCCTCATAGCTGTGGCTCTGAACAGTGCTCATTACTAATCCTACTGACTATCAATTCGCCAAAAACAAGACTAAATATTGCAGCCCATTTCACCTCTTCCAATTCTTGCATAGATTTATCAGCATTTTATTTACTAAATCGCTTTCTGATCAATTGAACTCATAAAAATAATGACTTAAAAATGCTGCAACAGTATTTACTTCAAGAAGGCTGTTGAATTTAGAACGTAAGCATTTTAGAAGTCAATTTACATATAAATATCAGCTCATTCAATATATATATCATACATGCAATATCATCATAGTTCGGTTTGTTAGTGTCTACCTAAATATTGTGGGTGCTGTGTCAGCCAGGCTAGTATTTTTCAGCATGCACTTTATTATCTGAACTGCGGGGAACACTCAAAATCAAATCAAAAATCACCCAGCAAGTTACCAAAGCGAAAATAGTGACAACTTCTAAGCATATGGAAAAGTGTGTTTCACTCATAGCTTCACAGAGCCCCAGTATCGTACCTGACCGATGTTTTTCTCTTGTGACAAATAAACGTTTCATAGCAGACTGGTCGCTCTGGATTTCCTTGTGGTACTGATGATCGGATGTCTGAGGAGACAACGGTTACTGAACAGATATCAAAGCCCACGGACAGAGAGCAGCGACAGACACGCTGAGAAACATATAATCTGGAGGCCATCTGAAGGCCAAAACACTTGGTCAAACACAGATGTTACAGGCTCTACACCACAAAATGATAGGAAACTGAAAATACATTCATCGGTACTTATTCGCGGAAACATTTCGCTGACCAGCGTCCACCAAACATCGATCCAGCATTATTTGAATTGATCTTGAAAAGGGTATTGGTACGCTGTGAGGGATCAGCCGCTGCACCGTATGTTCCCCATTAGATAAGGCTAAAGGCATGTTTTTAATATACTTTGTGATTGCCTAGCTGATGGCCGTTCATATATAATGCAAATCAAGTTTACGTTGCCAGGAAAAGGTGAATTTAGTACCGTTATGAACGCAATAAATGAGGCATTTAAATTCGGGAATTAACAATATGCACACCTAAACATATTACTACATTTCACACTATTAGCAATTCAGCAATATCTAAACAGACAGCAACATATACGAGATCATTGACTCACTCTAATTTCTTTACTATCACAAAAGTGTCAGCTATCTTTACGTATAATGGACTAGGTACGGTTTTTACCCGAGTTACAGTACCTACCTACTACCTACTATGTTACAAGCTATGGAAAACGCTAAAACATGCAACACTCTCCACATGCTAAGGCTGAATGCTAATAACACATAAATTTGGCGGCTATTTTTCGCATCCAAGCCACATTTACAACTATTTGCTCAAAAGTATTTGGAAATACATTTTCGTTGACACAGCCGTTGTTTCAAGTGCAGCCAGATGGTCCAGCTGGCTCTTCGCGGTTAGATCTTGGTACAAAAAAAAAACAGCGGACCCAATATCCACTACGAGATAACGTATTTCAGCGGTGCTAACACAGTGGCCCGGTCAATAATCCGGCATTTCATAGGTAGGGACGACAAACTAACTTTGGAATTGCCGTTTCAACAACCATTACAATTTCTGAAGATGACTTCTTCTTGGCATACACGCCCCAATTCTCACGCAATCGAAATGAGCTTTACTTCGAGTGGCATATTCATCTGGTGTGCAGAATCTGTTACAAAACGATCAAATCTCAGTCATAGTGCTGTATCATAAGAAGGTCTCTGTCACGATCTAAGCTAATGTCGGGCCCTGACTGCATCATGTTGCCCCTCTGGCGCCATGCATGCCGATGTTTGGGCTGATGTAATTTCACTAATAATGGTGGTGTTGATCGCTTAGACGTCCTTAGAATATTTCGTCGTACTTTTGCGAGAAGTCATGCAGAAGTGTTGATGAAGTTCATAACTATTGCGATATCCTCTTCAGCTGACAATTATCACTATCGCGCACTCAGTTGGGGAGTAGAAGCATGTTATTTACTATGAAACATTGGTAGAAATTTGACATGAATTCCATTTGAACAGAGTACATATATGTGGACGCAGACATAAACACCAAGCGGGACTGGTCATGAGTGCGACAATCTGGGACTGCGGGACAGGACCATATTACATCCCACGGATTTCGTGGACACATTGTAACACATACACCCAACTGGAACTGGAACCGTTTACATACCGAGCAGCTCAGGGGCTGGCCACAAACAAGTCAGGACTGGGAGCCGAACAGGTAACAAGGCATGAAGGGGGACTTCCTACAAATACCAGCCGGGACCACACCAAACGCATTTGCATATACCTTTACAGTATTCATCACTTTGGACTGGGACCGCATACACAGACGAGGAAGCAACGACTCCATGTGCCGTGCAAACCTAGATTTTTAAGTGCTGCGAGGTGACGATGAAGTCATTGACACTTTATAGCAGACGTTCCATCCAAAGCAACACGCCATATCCCTGGAACAGAGATCCCATCCCAACCCGTCCCATCCTCACAGTGCCCCAAACCAGGCCCTGGCGATTTTAATCAAGCATCATCATTCTATTGTTAAGTTGAGATTATCAGTACCTGAGTAGCGAGCAGATGAATGAAGATTAGAGCAATCAGTTGTTTAGTCTCTATCCATCGAGCGGAGAACAGAGCCCACTGGCGTTTCCGGGGGCTGAACTGAGCTAGCATGCGGCACGACCACAACATCGATAATATGAAAAATAGCTTACGTTCTTACTTGTGTTTTCTTGTTCCGAGCCAGGTCGGCGGCGGAGGCGGCCGGCTGGCCGGGCCGCGAGCGCCGCGTGTGCCCGCCCATGACGCCATAGTCGTCCGGCACGGAGACGGCCGCCGCCGGCTGGCTATGGTAACTAGAGTCTAGCTGGTGAGCACGGGGCTCTACCGGGCCGCAGGGGGGTGAGAGCAGCTGTCAGTATACGGGGCAGGGGGCCCGCCGCCGCGCACCGCGCCGCCAACGGCAGCTACGGACGGACACTACATACAGGGGCCCGGCGCGACCGCACGGCCGGCCGGGCACAGCCACGCAGCTACGACCACACCGGAGGGAGCGACGGTACACTATCAGGTAAGGGCACAACATATTGGAAACAACGCAGGTATCTCCGCTTAACACAAACACTGCCGGTCTAGTCTCTACGTAATCTACAATAAACGGTCGAATATGCGGTTGTTCTGTTGCTCACAAGAAGTCTTAAGTACATAGGTACATGTGATTGGATTAAGGTAACTACCCCACCCTCACACATGGTTTTGATTTGACATAGCCAAATTGAGGCCACTGGCTCTCAATTACCGATCTGGGTAGGTACTGGCAACATCGAGAAATACCTTTTTCGAAAATGTTTAATTTTAAAGTCTACAGCACTCGAATTCTAAGGGGCTAATCCATTTGGATGACTAGTTATGACTAGTTATGATTTGAAAGCCAGCACAGATTTAGTGATTTTCAAAGATATTAGTAAAACTTTGGTCAAAGCTATATATGGATATACCGGGTGGCCCAGAAAAAACGTTCCCAACTTTAAATCATTATTTCTCGGAAAGTGATAAATATACAACATTGAAGCTTCGAATAGTCAATGCGGCACACATTTTCAGTAAATGGTGTGATTTTCATGGTGTTCGGTAAACTACGTTTTAAACAGTTCGTGTTTCAAGCATGCCATGTAAAAATTACTTTTTTGCTCCGATGTTTACTCAAAAATATGAGTGAACGGGTCACTTTCACCCCACGGCACCACGGCCTAGAGCCATGACTGCTACTGGCAGCTAGTCTCATTGATGGTTCGGGTCCAGGATGACACATTTCCTCAGGCAACCACGCTGGCTCTGTGCCAGCGGCATCGGAAGAAGTTTCCAGTTTTCTAACCATCTTGTGGCTCAAATGCTTTCCTGGCTGACATTCCTGGGGAAAGGTAACTTTTCAACCAGGTTTTTGGTCATATGCTGGCAATGTTGTTTTTCATAAGCTATTCTGTGGTCTTCTGGCACAGGAACCAGTCTGCTTTAGTTTGTTTTCCTTATCCGGTCGAAGTTACTGTTTGATCTACTGAAAGGATCCATGCATCATCAGCAGTAATCCATGCACCGTGCCACTCCTGCTCGAAACATGATTTGGTGTTGAAACGAATGACATCCATGAGCACCATTTCGGCTCAGTATTTGAATATTTGGCACATAAGTGAGACAAAAATACTTAAAATAAGAACATACGTGTTGGTGTCATTCACGTGCTCTATTTTTTATTCTTTTTTGTAACATGGGACGTCTAACCCAATAATCACTCTCTTTTGACATCGGCAAAAAAAGCAAAAACGTCTTGCTTAATTCAACTCAAGATTGCCAGCTTGTAAATGATGGTATAGTGTTGTAATTTGGCATACCAATGCGCAAAGAAATGACGCAAACTTGATGAAAATTTTGGCTGGTTATTTGCACTCGAATTTGATATATAAACCTCCAAAGTTCGGAACGTTTTTTCTGGGCCACCCGGTATACTGGCACCTTACTGGATCGGATGAGACTGTAAGATTCATTAGAACGGCGAGGCCCACAGCCATACACACATCGACGCCGCAAACGCCCGTACGTATACTCGGCGGCGGCATCGTGTGAACCCATGACTCATATGAAACACCCAGTGACACCTAGCGGTCGGCCAGACATTGCACTGACGTGGAAGTGACTACAGGCGGCGGCGCCCCACGAACTGCACCCTTCCCTTTGCTGACAAACCATCACAGAGGGAACATCTTTGTGCTGCCTGCCGACGATTGCAGATTGCCACTAAGCGCAAATAAGGTGGGTCGTATCCTGCATTTCCGCTGCCGCCCTACTGGCCGCCACGACCGACTGGCCCTAGACCCCGGCCGGGTACCTGCGTGGTGTCCCGGCGATCGCGACCTCTACGGCCTAATTTTCCCATACATTTGGCAATTTCTTTGGCGTCTTTCAGCGGGAAATCACGGTACTGACCCTATGCAGGACGCTGATCGACAGAGGGCGTGAAAGGAGTCGAGACCGAGTCGCGCCAAAAGAAAATTGGTATATGAAGGTTACTCGTACCACCGATCGCCGAGCACGTGCTAATGGCACCTTACTGGATCGGATGAGACTGTAAGATTCATTAGAACGGCGAGGCCCACAGCCATACACACATCGACGCCGCAAACGCCCGTACGTATACTCGGCGGCGGCATCGTGTGAACCCATGACTCATATGAAACACCCAGTGACACCTAGCGGTCGGCCAGACATTGCACTGACGTGGAAGTGACTACAGGCGGCGGCGCCCCACGAACTGCACCCTTCCCTTTGCTGACAAACCATCACAGAGGGAACATCTTTCCCCACCTCCTCCCCACTCCCCCACTATTACATTATCTTCCCTCCCAACCCATTGTCTCCTCCTTTCATCAGTCCGTCTCGTCTTTCAGCGGGAAATCACGGTACTGACCCTATGCAGGACGCTGATCGACAGAGGGCGTGAAAGGAGTCGAGACCGAGTCGCGCCAAAAGAAAATTGGTATATGAAGGTTACTCGTACCACCGATCGCCGAGCACGTGCTAATGAAACTTAACACAATATCTGTCGCACTCCACGGGATTCCAAGCTATTGTTTCCAAGTCTACGTAACGCAAAGTGCTTATGACTGGTGGCGCATTGAGAACTGTGAATTTTGTTTTGAAAATTTATCAGTAATATTTTTATCAGTGAATTTTGGCTAGCACTCGTTTAAGCTCTTTTTGAACAATGGATTTAAGATAAACTTTAACTCTAAACCCTAACCGGCCGAGGAGGGTCGGTGCTGCCTTCTGACGTTTTTTTTTTTTCGCGATTACTCGGAAACACGCTCGTGATAGAGAGCTGAACGTTGGCACACCTTACCTTTGATTCGAGCCAGGTCTTGTGGCATCAATCGAATTTTCAGGTCAGGTCAGTTCACTGCCCTTATATTACATCATAAGTAAACATTTGCGCAGTCCTAAAATTATGTAACTTCGTAACGCTCCGAGTGGCAGAGGAGCTTTCCAGGGAGATGACACATACATAACTTAGTATCCTTTCAAGGCTTTACAGCTGGTATATCTCTGATTTTTCAAGGGTCACCCAAATCTAGGTCGCTCGTGCGTGAACTTGCCATTATAGGTCAATGGGGGAGGGTGAAAATGAAAGCTGCTATTTTGGAGCCGAGAATGATCTAAAACTACCTTGAGCCAATGGAATAATGATTTTATGCACCCCTTGCAAAATTTTGTGTCTTAATTTTTCATCATTGACCTTAAGTGACGTCTAGTGATGTCAATTACGGAAAATCGGAATACCGATACCAAACCAAACATCAACCAAAACCACGGGAAAATACCGAAACCAAACCAACTTGGGAAAATGAGGGAAATACCAACTTTTTACCGATTTCTTACTTCTTAGTCTCTTATACATTAGTGAGGGTTTATGATACCAACAAAATACAAAAAAAAAAAACATTACGATTCAAATACCAAATACCAAGTTGGTATCGGTTTGGTATCGGTATACCAAAAAGTTGGTAACCAATTGACATCTCTAGTGACGTCATTTATGACGTCGCTGTCATAGGAAATTTTTCGTTAATAACTCCTGATCAAATTAAGCTAGCGAGTCGGAAAAGCCACTAATGGACTTAGCAAGAATTGCCAAATCGAATGATATGCGTTTTGATCTCCTCCGACCAGCTTCTGACCTGACCTTGACCCGAGGTCAACAGCTTAAGTTGACCGTACCTAAACAAGAAGTAAAAAAAAAATGATGTGCCTGCGCATGGAAAGCACGATGGTGCCAAAATCGCGACTCTGAAACCATTTTCGAGAGGTTATTTACCGTAACCCGAACCCGTACCTTGGGTCATTTGATCTGACCTCAGAGGTTACCGGTTGACCTGAGATTTTAACCCGCGCACCGACGGGGGGGGGCGGATATCCGCCCCCCCCTGAGGTTTTTCGCGAATAGCGGGAAAACCGCGGCGCGTAGCGCCGCGAAATTTGGTATGACTATTCCCTTATCAATTTTACACATGGTGTGCAAGTTTGAACCTCCTACCTTTCAAGGTCAGGTCACCAGGTCACTTTGAATGACCCAACCTCAAGTCACTTTTTTGCAACTTTGTCACCGTGCCAGAGCTACAGTAGATGTCGGAGGCCTTTGAAAGTCGCAGGATGTTATTAGGTCATTAGTAGCTACAATTTGTATATCTCGGAATTTTGATATCGGTGACCTAAGGTCAGGTCAATTTCGGGACCTCCCCATTATAAGTCAATGGGGGAAAAATCAACTCCCTGTTTTTACCACTAAAACGGGTCGGAAAGGCCCATATACCATACATGACTTCATATACGGTCAACCTTCACTACCTTGAGGTCTGTTTTGCTGTTGGGCAGCTGTGAGGTCATGTGACGTCATCAAAGGTCACCAAAGGTTTTTGGCCAATAACTCCGTACAGGAGCAAGATACAGACGCGTGGATGGTCTCATTGTGTTCAGCTCGTCAAGACGCATCGAATGATATACATGATGACCTCGGGGTCACGTGACCTGAGGTCAACCTTTGACCTTGACCTTTCGAGGTCAACATATATATCATTCGATGCGGATTGACGAGAGGATCACGATGATGCCCTTAGTTTGTTCCTGTCTTGACTAATTCGAAAGTTATTCGAGAAAAACTCTCTCCATATTTAGCGCCGCCATTTTGACTTTTTCGACCCCTGTGACGTCATCTTTGACCTGACCTGAAAATGACCTTAGTAAAAATTGTAGATCTTGACCGTGCGTATCCGATGCCGTTTACCGCTTGTCGCTATCTTGCTTCGTTCTCGAGATCTCGGGGGGGGGCGGTCATCCGCCCCCCCCCGTCGGTACTAAGTTGGCGCAGACCCCCGTCGGTGCGCGGGTTAAAATCGAGGACCAGTCTCTGCGTCTCGTAATAACGCATACGATCTTTTTTATTTTAATCCGCGACGAAGCTCTAGCTCAACTGAGGGCGAAAGAGCAAAAGGGTAGAACTCCGTCCATCGGGACGCATGTAGAAAACTAATAGGTCCGGCGAGGGTCAAGTGTTAGTTTGACGATGTTCCGGTTTCACTTTTTTTCTGTCAGGTCTGATCTTAGCTTTAGGTCACATTATAAAGTTGACTTGTTAAGGTTAAACTTAAGTTTATTCGCAACATCTTGACAAAAAAAACCAGGATCCTGGTTAAAATTTATCTCC